TTTTTGAAATGACGAATTTGGCCCCGTAAACCATACCATTGACCCGGCACGAGTACCTCCTATTTTTAATATATGTCGTTTTGAGAAGTTGCACACTAATTAAGAATATTTTTTTTTTGTCAATAATAACCTTATTTAATGAAGATAGAGATGAATATTTTGATAAAAAGTGAAGAGTGAATATGAAAATACGTAATGTATTTATTGACTAAATAAGGGTAATAATGAAAAAATATGTACAAAAGATATAAAATGATATTTATTTGGCAAATAGTTAAAAAAGTTAGAATGACATTAAAAAAAAAAATAGGAGGGAGTAATATTTAAGGAAAATGATATAGAATTATATTAGATAAATCATCAAAAGTTAATATTTGATACCACAAGTTTTAGGCATGGTATCTCACATCTTTTATAAGTATTGAATGAAATAGTTGATTCACACAATACTAAAAATAAAAATGTGACATTTGACAATATAAATACATATATTTATTTTGTTCACATAATACGAAAAGTATAAATAAAAATATGAAATTTGACAGTATAAATACATATATTTATTTTATTCACATAATATGAAAATTTGATCCGTCTAAAATTAAGTAGACTCACATAACAGTGATATCACATGTGAAACATGTTTATCTTCACAATTTGTACAAAAACAACTACCCATGAATTTGTGCAAAGATTCTTCTCACCCCAACTAAAAATGGAGGCAAGAATCAAAATTTATTAATTACACCAAGTAATTAGCAATTACACTTTGCACATGAAAACATAAATTCCGAAAATAAATAAATAAATATATAAATTGTCCCGCCGTACCCACGTCATCCTAGCGCCGCGAATCCGCCGCACTTCATCATTAGTCGGAACTCGTCGAAGTTGACCCTCCTGTCGCCATCGAGGTCTACCCTGACGATCATCCTCCTGCAGTTCTCCGACGTCCTCCCCTGCTTCAGCCCCAGCGCCGCCAGCACGGACCTCAGCTCCTCCGCAGTGATGAACCCGTCTCCGTCCTGGTCGAACACCCTGAACGCTTCTTGCACGTCGTCTTCACCGTCTCCGTCGCCATCGGCATAGCCGCCGCGTACAGGGCGCCAAACTCATTCGCGTCCACCTGGCCGTCTCCGTCAACGTTGACCTTCCCGATCATCGCACGCAACTCCTCCTCCGGCACGCGGATTCCAAGATTCTCCAGTGACTCGCCGAGCTCCTCTCGGCTGATCTTGCCATCGTCGTTCCGATCGAGCATGGAGAAGACCCGACGGAGCTCTGGCGTGTCCATCTCTTCATGTGGAACCTAATTGATCGGTGAGATTTGTTTTGAATTTGATTTTGATTGGTCGATTTAAATTTTACCCAATAATTTTGGGAGGGATTGGATTATTTGATAATTGGTGATTTAATTTGCATAAAAATGGAGTGATTTGATGAGTCTGTGTAGGGAAAATTAGATTATTGGGATTTGAATGATGAAAAAAAATTGGTTTGAATTTGGAGTTTTTTGTTTTTCGTTGAAGGCTGAGAAAAAAGAGGCGGGAATAGTGTGCAGCCTATCATTTTATTTTATTTTATTTGTTTATATATTATTATTATTATTACTATTATTATTATTATTTTTGTCACTATTGCTATTTCAATATTTGTGTGTGATGACGTTTTTTTTGTTTTTTTTTTTTCCGACTAGAGGTATCCCACATTCAACTTCGAAACTTCATCACGAACTGTCAGCCCCCCATGGGGTACGGGCCTAACGGTCTAAGGGATCCACACACAGAGGTGAAGTTGGGGAAATTTATTTAATTTCAAAGGTTGTTACTGAGATTGAAAAATTCTTCAGCTTTATTGAGTTTTTTGCTATTTACTCATTTTAATTATAATTATAATAGTAAAACTATTTGTAAGAACATTGGTTTGGCATCATGTCCGACAAACCTAAGTGTTTTCTAGAAGATTTCTTGTTAAGCAAGCAAAATAAATTAAAGGGAAGTTTTTCTATTTATTTACTTGTGATTTAATTAAGTTCCTAATATTTATTATTAATAATATATGGTATATATTCATTGTAGTATGTATTATGGAATCCTAATCCTTTAGGAGAAGGATTACATAATATATATCTTATATATTTACTTACCATATATGCCACATGCCATAATTAGTTCTCTTTTGCTTGTAGGACAAGGAATAGGTGGCAAGGACTATGAAATGATGAGTTTTACATACAATAAGAGATCTGGACGTTCATGAGAAGATCTAAGGAGGATTTGGAAAGATTCACCACAAGATCTTTGAAGATTTGGAAGATCGGCTATGTTCTTACCAGATTCTGGAAGGCAAGATTTCTATTGGAAGTTCAATTCTGAAGATCTCCAAATCACATGCACGATTTATACATCAAGGAAACTTACCTTACATGAAGGATGTCGTCCAAATCAGAAAGCAATCTATTGAGAAGGAAATTGACTCCTAAAAGGAAAGGAAGAACTTGGAGAAGACTCCACCCTAAGGAGTTGTATATATACCCTGCTTGAAGATCGAAGATATGTGGCTGAGATAATTATCTTTCATTCAATATTCGAGCTTCAAGCCTTTTTTGGTTTTATTTTGTTCACAGTTCAGTTCAAGGTTCTTACGTATCCAAGAACTGAAGCTGTTTAGTTTGTTTCTTTTTATTTCATTCAAACACTTTTGTGATCAGTACTTAGGGATTAAGTACAGTGGTTAGCTCGAGGGATTCGAGAGTTAGAAGTCCACGGGACGTGACCGGAGAAGTAATTGATAGGATCGTGTGTAGTTGTGGCTAGACTAGAAGGGAGTTCGAGTCGTGTAAGTCCAAACTATACAAGTGTGAACGGTTTATCCATGAAAGAGCTCTGAGGGGAAGTGGGACGCTTCCCTGAAGAGTTTTTAAATCTTCGCTTTATTGCTTCCGTATTATACAGTTCTTATTTCAGTTCGTACCACCAATAAGCGCACTCCGTGATAATTATACGTTTCACTATTTATTATTTTTTTCACTTAATTGACAGATGCACGTAGGGACAAAATTCACTCGTATTTGTTTCGAACACAATTAAATTGGCTCGTTAAAATTTGAACTTGATTATATTGTTAAAAATGAGTTTTAATTTAGTCAATACTGAATATTTTTGCATGTAATGATTGTCCGTGTCATTCCATGGGCATTTTGTAAATAATAATTTGTTTGGGGCTAAAACAGAATCTCTCTCATAGTTTGGGGGTTCTAATGACATATTCCAAAAATCGAATTACAGCATCAAAACCAACCAGATAGCAATTCACATCTGATCTGAAAAGCTCCACTCCAAACCCTCGAAAAGCAAAAATGGGGATCTTCACGCTCCAGAAGCTCGCCTCCCAAATTACCAAAACACCCTCGATCTCCTTGTCCTCGCGCGCCGTGATCGCCCGCTACTGCGCCTCCGCCGTGCCGTCGTCCCGGTCGGCGAAGGTCGCCGATAGAATCGTGAAGCTGCTTGCGATCGACCCGGACGGTAACCGGCAGGAGGTGGTGGGCCTCTCGGGCCAAACCCTTCTGAAGGCGCTGACCAACAAGGGCCTAATAGATCCTGCCTCGCACAGGCTTGAGGAGATCGACGCCTGCTCGGCCGAGTGCGAGGTCCACATCGCCCAGGAGTGGCTGGAAAAGCTTCCGCCGCCGTCGTACGACGAGCAGTACGTGCTGAGGAGGAATTCTAGGAATCGGGAGATGAACAAGCACGCGAGGCTCGGGTGCCAGGTTGTTCTGTCGCAGGAATTGCAGGGTATGGTGGTCGCGGTCCCTGAGCAGAAGCCATGGGATACTCCGTGAGGTTATCACCCTTTATTTTTCCATAATTAGATCGTTATTTGGTATGGTCCGGCTGGTGTAAGGCCTTTTCATTTCCGTCTATGCATTTGAATAATTTGGAATGAGATTGAGGACAATTTGACATGATGATGGAACTCGTGGGTGCTCGATTTAATTGTTGTGTCTTGAATATGTTACCTTCTCAATGGGATTTGAAGATGAGATCTTTTCACATAATCTGCGTGTATGGATTAGAATTAGATATGTATGGCTACTGGTTTCATATATTCAACATTATTGTTGTTTCTTACTATGTAATCTTCTCAGTGAGATTTGAAGATGAGACCTTTTCACATCATCTGTGGGTATGGTTTAAAAACAGATGTGCAGAGTTTTTTGTATATTCAACAAAATGCGATATTGTTCTTTGATTGATATGAAAGCTATTATCATTTAGTGGTTTGGTGTTTCAGCTGCAGTAAGTACTAGTTATGGAGTTAGTATGTATCTTAAGTCACTAGGTCAACAAGTGGTTCTGTTATTCCTTATTATCGAGCTTCTGAGTCTTGGAACTTACATGGTTATAATTTCTGCTGTTTATTAATTCTCTCAAGTTAGGCATTGAAGTGGAACACAGAAGATTGAGAGCACCAAAGTTAGAAGTTTCATATTTTTCATTCCATGAGATAAATTGCCTCTGAAAAAGCAGTAATGTCAAGGTTTGGTCTCAAAACTGGAGTCCACATTTAGCGTGGTTTTTCTGTAGCAAGAGCTGATTTGTTTTTAGTCGATTGGCCCATAGTTGCAAGTTGTCCATATTAGGGAAGTTTTTCATTCGCTTGGTGCTGAAAACATTAGTAGCCTTATCTTATTCTGAGGCCACTTAGTGGAGTAGCCGAATAGGTACCTGAACTATGGGTTACTTGTGTGGGTCAGTTTTTGTTTGACGATGCACACCTTCGATTAGGCTCGAAACATTTGTTTGTTTCTCTGCTTCTCTCTTTTTCCTTCCTAAAGCCATTTTATGTAAATTCTAAATAGGTGAATGTCTGGTTTCACCACCAGTTATATATTTACATTTGAATTTGCGGTTTTCGAATTTTTGGATGTTATAGGTGAGTTTCTGGTTTCACCAACATAGTTCTATATTTACATTTGAATTTGCGGTTTTCGAGTTTTTGGATACTAATGTAACATGATGACCATTGTAGAGAGTTGTTTGTTTCGGCACGTTTGGTCATATGTGCTCCTCTTGATGTATGAAAGTTTCAAGTTCAGTTGTCAATTCTTAGTGGTACATAAACAAATAGTTCTAGTTAGAAAAAGAAGTTTGTGTGGACATTTGTGCTCGTGATATGCAAGTTTTAAGTCTCAAATAATGCGGAGTCCAGAAAAATGCAAATGTTCTATTAGGCTATGTTTTGGGGTAAACCTAGCTGAAAAACTAAATGCAAATGTTTTATTAGGCTATGTTTTGGTGTAAACCTAGCTGAAAAACTAACTTATAGCTTATGAGTTAGTTTATTGCTTATAAGCGATTTTCGAGTTTTTGGTGGAGTAAGGATAATTGTAAGAGCCATATGTTGTTTCGAATGCTCATTTCATGATTTCATCGGTCATATCACCACACTTTACTGGTCATATCACCACTTTACTCTGAAGATGTGATGAGTAAAATGAGAGAATACCGTCCACATGTTATTTTTTTTTTGTTTTTTTTTTGTTTTTCTTTTGAAATATACATGCATTAAGTTAAAGATCGTGCGAGATGTCAATCATTCATCCAACGTTCGAGCATTAAGTTTGGTAAAGCAGTGATTGCGTCCTAGGTAGCGAAGTTTCCTGTTTTCATATGAACAAAACATAACGAACAAAACTCAAGTAGAATGAATAATCTCATTTCTACTATGAAAAACAATGGATATAAGACTCACTATTCGTATACTGCAAACCTTTTCAGTTATCTATCTGCAGAAGAGGAAACGAGGTTTCTTTTCGAGCTGCCTGCGTGTGGATTGTCTCGGGTTGAGTCGTGGCCAAAAGTTCGTACAAGCTTAATCGCTATATGCATGTGTATATATACATATATATGTCAACAAACGACAGCGTATTATTAGCATGGCTATGCATATAATAACAATTGATGATCTGAGTATTAATCTTCTTTCATTTTCTTTCGGTCTTTAACTGATCTACACTTTTTTAAGCCCATCTACCGTAATGATGTATCTTTTCGATCACTCTTAAGCTTCTTCAAGTCACGTCCCCTTGTGTTTTCTTAAAGAGTACTCAAGTTACTATTAATTTGAGAACAATATTTATACTTTTTGAGTTGCATGAATCAATAGTAGTGTCAAAAGGATAGTCTTATTTATTTAAATGCATTTTTGGGATATGAATATATGATGAATCGATTTGATACACGGATTTAGTTTTTTTTTTTTTTTTTTTTTTTCCCAAAACGATAGATAATATTGTAAATCAAAATGTACAAATGTGCAAATACACAGCAACCAACGGTTGAATACACAACAGCCAATAGCTGAAAAAAAATGAGAAGACATGTCATAAGACCGCCTAGAATCCAGACTAGCAACGCTAGAATAAAAAGCTCGCAACTAAACTAAACCAACTACTCAAACAACTAAAACAACTAAAAAAGACCCAAACATGGTATTCTCGAGTTTCGGATTCCAACAGGATAATAAGTTTGACACTCGGGCTCACAGGGGCCAACGGCCCAAACCAAAACACAATACACGCGCAACACAAATACAAAATTAAGAACAAGAACACAAAAATTAAATGAATCTAATAGCCCTTCCCCAGCGAACGAGTAAACCTAAACCAGCAGTGAACGATCGACACAAGACCAATCCAGGCCAAGAACCAGGTACCGAAACTGCAATCAAGCCTATACAGTAGCGGAACCCAAATCCCGAACCAGTCACTGTATCAACCCATCGAAAACCGAGAAAGTCATAGTCCATCCCACTCCGATTCCATCCGAACTCTTCTAACACCACTAGACGAGGCCGATAGAACCTCCTCCGCCGCCTAACACCACTAATCCAACAGGGAATTGAGCAAGAGAAAACAGTCCTTCCCCCGACCGCCACGAACAGGAACGCCGCAGTGATCAGGGTCCCGCCCCACCCGATGACTCACACACCACCCGTCACCTCCACAGGCATCCAACGACAATCGGCCCGACCTCACCGAAAAGGGTGAAGCGCCGCCGGAAACAGCTAAGTCCGGCACTCGCAGACAAAGGATAGAAAGACAGGGCTTACTGACACAAATCGCTACTCCTCCGATGACTGAAAAAGAAGATTCTAATCGCCGGCCTTACTACGACCTCAAGGTGCGCCACCGCCGTCCAGACCTCCATCTGCAACCGCGAAAACCTGACACCCCGTCAATGGACTATCTGAAGCTGAAATAGGGGCGCGCTTCGCTAGGGGGGAGCGAGCGGTTGAGGACGACCCCTAGCCGAGCTTTACTGTCGCCGAGGAAGGCGGATTCGCCGGAAAGCCGCCAGAATTAGGTTTTGGTCGCGAGAGAAATGGGAAGAAAGATTTGTCAAAAAAATGCATATCACGGATTTAGTTTTATTAGTTAAATATGATTACTTAGCAATTAATTATAATTTGGGATATAAAAAAACAGATCTAAAATTGGGTAGTGACACTGTAATTGACGGGAAATAATTAAGGAGAAAAGAAATAGTTAAAGAGAAAAAAAAGAAGAGAAACGGAACTGCAAAAAACAAAACCACCTACAATACCAAAAATACCCCTAGCAGCACCAAACCTCCGTACAACCCCATACCACCCGCACAAACCCTCCGCCCGCCTCCGGTCCCCCCACCGCCGGCCGGAGTCGGCGCTGCCGCCGCCGCGCCCCCCAGCCTTAGAATCCCCCTCGAGCCCAGATTCTCCGACGAGAACTCGTGCCTCGCCGGCACGCCGTTCCTCACCGCCGCCCCCACCTGCCACACCTGGTTCAGCTCCGCAGCGTGCCCCGCCGGCAGCGCCAGCGTGGCGAATATCCTCATCTCGCCGCCGGAGTACTCCCCCCTCCGCCGCAGGACGCCGTACGCTATCGGCGACTCGGCTATCGGGCCCTTCGACGAGATGTTGTACGTCCGCACCACCACGGACCCGTCGGCGCCGCCCCTGAAGGCGGCCAGGGCCTGTGCGCCGACCATCCCGGATCCCGTCGGGTTGAGTGCCCAGGCGATCCAGCCGTCGGGGCCCGCCGGGGTGGCGACAAAGGCCACTTCCAGTGTCGGATCGGGCCGGGCCGACGGGTCGTAAGTCCAGTGGAGTTGAGCACGAAGGGTGGGGAGGTCCGTACAGTTCGCGAACCGGGTGTTTGTTTGGTTGAACGTCTGAGATCTGCAGGTTTGGGATGTCGCCGGAAAAAATAGCAGACCGCCGGCGGCGGCGGTGAGGATGAGAAGATAAGGGAATTGCAGAGAGGGGGCCATTGTGATTTGTGAAGAGTGTGAGGATAAGTTTGGGAATTGAGAGTTTCTTACTTTTATTCAACGAGTTTTTTCCATACAAGACTCGGAAGATGGGTAAACTATAAATCTGAGGCTTGAAATATTTTTTCTCAATTCGTGACTTAAATGTTATAAAACTATCAAAATATGTTCTATAATTAACAAAACTCATAACACCATTAAAATGAGAGTTTTTTTTTTTTTTTTTAAAGACAAGATTGGTACTTACTCACATAAAATAATAAGTATACATTTACATAATATATATTTAAAAAAAAACAGAAATAGACGACAACAAGAAAATCGAGCAAGAGCTTCACACTTTCCTTAATTTTCTCCAACAATCTCGTATTTTCCGTACTTTTCTTCATTTCTCTCTCTTTTTTTTTTTACTTTGTAACATATTTGGTGTTTTAAAACTTCAAATTAACTCTCAATTTAATTGTGTTATGGATTTTGTTAATTCTATGACTTAATTTGATAGTTTTATAATATTTAGGTC